TTCACTGCTCAACGTTGTGATAATGAGTTATGCCACACAGTTGAAAACTGCACCGCCTTTTGTGTCTATTGCAATTGCAGCGCGTCATGAATAATTTTGAAAATGAGTTTTTCAAAATTATTTTATTAACTTAATTAATGAGTTCAACACAAGAAATTATCAAGAGTGTATATTATGATAGAAGCGGTTATGGTTCAAAACAAACAACCCTCAAGGATGCTAAGCAAAAAGATAGTAGTATTACAATAAACGATATTAATGAATTCTTTAGTAAGAATGTAGAAGAAAAAAGAAAGATGAGAGGTGAAAATAGTTTATTGCTCCGCATAGTTTCTGGGAATTTCAAGTTGATATGTTTTTCATTTCTAAAAATGATTTGGAAAATCAAACATTTAGAATTGGAATGATATGCATTGATATATTTAGCAAATATATGCATATCGTGCCAATTAAATCCAAGACACCGCCAGACATTTTAGCAGGAATGATGGAGAATATCAATAAGATGGGTGGCAAACCGAAATTAATTTATACCGACGAGGAAGGCAGTTTTTTTAATCAATCAGTATTAGATTATTTGAAGGAGGAGAAAATTGAATTACATAGATCTAGAGGTCATCCAGCATTTGCGGAGCGTGGAATTCAGACTTTTAAAGATCAACTGTTTAAACGAGTTGAAGCGGACAAGAAAAATGGAAAGCATAATATCCAATGGACGGAATATATTTTTGAAATATTATTAACTTACAATAATAAGATGGTGCATTCTGCCACCCGCTTTGTTCCAGCACAGGCAAGATTAAAAAAGAATGAGTTTGAGGTAAAAATGAATATTACAATGCAAGCAAGAAATACTAGAAAATACCCTGAGTTGTCAGTGGGTAGTAATGTAAAAATAATGGGGAAGAAAGGCATAAGCGAAAAGGCACATACCAGTCATTGGTTAAAAGAAGTATTTAAAGTAAAATCAATTGATAGTAAATTAGGGCAATCTTACTTTCATTTGGAAGGAAAAACTAGTCCTTATTTGAGACACGAATTATTGAAAGTTTAATATTAAACGAAATACAGTTAAAGAAAAAACGCCTTATAATATTAGTGAAATGTTGTTTAACTATAACAAGTGCGAATGCTGTAAATGCAAAATGAATGATTTGAGTTTAACCTTGCATCATATACTACCAGCAAATGTATGTAATAAAATAAGTGAATATAATGTATACTGCAATCAATGCTGTATAACAAGAGACCTTGAAAAGTTTTTTGTTGAAGAACATAAGGATAAGGGATATACAAAGTTTCAATTACAGCTAAAATTCTTTATGCGACACCAAGCAAGATTTCCTATACACTTTTACCAGAAGATTTCCAGAAAGTCATATGAAAATGATATTGATGAATTCTTTAGTAATATAGATTTAATTAGGAGGTTTGGAGGAATAAACGCAATTAAACCATACAAAGCATTTGTCAAAAAATACCGTTATTTGTTTGAATGGATTGACTGGCATTTATTAGACAAAGATAAAATAAACGAAGTCTTGAACGAATTTAGAGCAACTAAATATAGTATATGGTATTACTACAACACTAAATATAAAGTATGTCTATTGTTGTATTTATTCTTTCGGGAATATATTTATTCAATAATAGGAAAAGACAATATCAAATATATATACATTGGTGATATAGATAAATATGTAGATTACATATTTGAAGACATATTGCCTGACCATTATTTTAATCCATAAACCTTACAATAAAAAACATTGTAAGATTTATGATTTCAAAATGACTTGAAGAAATAATAACTTAATATATTATAGCGGAATGAGTGATACAGTCGGTATCAATGCTAAAAATATATTGAAAAACAAGTTTATGAGTTATAAATGTAAAGACTGTGAAATGCTGAAATTACCAATTGAACGCGGTTTTGCAAATGGCGTTTGTAATAATATTTGTCAATATATAATATGCAATAATTGCAATAGAATTATAAAAAAAATGATGATATGAATAACAAGGATATTGATATTATAAATAATGAAACTATTGATGATGATTTAGAAATATTTGTATTTATTGAAATGAATAATTTCTTAACTATAGAAGGATTTGATAATTTGTTAGAATGTAACGACGAAGGATATAATAATGATTTTATTTTTAAGTATTATAGTATTGTAAAACAATTATACAATATGTCTTTTAATATTAAACGTTTAAAATATGTTGTATTGTTTGATTTTTTAAATGAGTTTTTAAATGATGACTCACGAACTTAGATATACAATAAAACGTGCGATTGGAATAATGGGAATGTTTAGAAAACAAATAAAAAATAATTTTTTATAATGAAACAACATGTGACAAAATAATAGAAAGAATTAAATTAATAATTTAGTTTTAGGCGAAATAGTCCTAAAGAAAAAACACCTTATATTAATAGTGAAGAAATGAACGGTGTTGAAATCAATAAGTATATTAATAAGAAATGCTATGACTGCTGCCACTTTAAAAAAGAAAATATGGAAATGTATAAATTAAATTTACCTAATGGAATAATAAATAATATTATTGATTATGCTTTGGGTGAAGAAGATTTATGTAAAATTTGTAGAAATTGGAGGTTTTATCAAGAATTAATCAAATGTACTTTAAGTATTAAAAGGTTTAATGAGAGAAATGTTGAAGATGACATTTTGATATTTTTAACTGTGTATAAAAGACCACCTTATAGTTATGTTAGAATATTTCTGAAAATCAGTAAGAAAAAATATGAAATGATTGAAGGTATATTATGGATGTTGACTAATCATAGTAGGGAAGGGTTTGATGTAAAAGAATACATTAAAACATATATTGAAAGAAAAAAGTTTAATGTCAAAAATACAGTGAGAGATATTAATATTATTTTTAAAATAATGCATGAAAGAAGTAAAATATATTTACAACTTAGTAGTCATCAATTAAATTATTATCCTGGACTTAAACTATAAATTAACCCATAAACCTTACAATAAAAACATTGTAAGATGTATGTTTGAATTTCTGTGATTTGTTATTAAAAATAATGTTAATTAATAATTTAGTTTTAGGCGAAATAGTCCTAAAGAAAAAACACCTTATACTAATAGTGAAGAAATGAACGGTATTGAAATCAATAAGTATATTAATAAGAAATGCTATGACTGCTGCCACTTTAAAAAAGAAAATATGGAATTGTATAAATTAAATTTACCTAATGGAATAATAAATAATATTATTGATTATTCAATGGATGAAGAAGATGTATGTGAAAATTGTAAAACCTGGAGAGATAACCAAGCTGTAATCAAATGTTTGTTGAGATTAAAAGGAAGACATAATAGAAATGTAGAAGATGACATTTTGATATTTTAACTGTAAATAAATTACCACCTTACGTTTATGTTAAACAGTTTCTTAAAATCAGTAAGAAAAATATGAAATGATTTATGATATATTAAGGATGTTGTGTCATAGTCAAAAGAAAGGAGATGATATTAAAGAATATATCAAATTTTATATTGAAATTTATAAAAAGTTTAATGTTAAAAACACAGTGAGAGATATTAATGTTATTTTTAAAATGATGTATGAAATAAATGAGATTTGTCAATTAAATTATTATCCTGAACTTAAATTATAAATTACACCATAAACCTTACAATTTAATTTTATTGTAAGATTTATGATTTGGATTTATGGGGGATTTTGGGATTTGGGATTTTGGAAAAATATATTTTGGGAATTTGGGATTTTGGAAAAATATATTTTGGGAATTTGGGATTTTGGGAAAAATATTTACAAAATTTATGTATCAAATCTTGAGTTGAGGTTCTGTTATGAATTGATGAAAAATATTATGTGAATTGGTCGGTTGAGGGGATTTTATCCAACTGGGGCAAGGTCTTGGGTAGGTGGCAGCCCCCCCCATGATGATCGAACAATTAGGGGCAAAGAATCTAAAAAGTAGCGGTCGCACGATGATTGAAAAAGTGATGATTCAATTAGGGCAAAAAAAAAAAGCAGCGGGGGGGGGGGGGCATCAGTGCCTCCGCGCCAAGGCCTCATGGTACAAGTGAGGATTCAAGTACGGGCAAACTAATCCCTGCAGATCGAAAAAGTGATGATTCAACCAAGGGCAAAAAGTCTAAAAAATGGCGGGGGGGGGTTGGGGGGGGGCTGTTGGGGGGGGGCGGCAGCCCCCCCCATGATGATCGAACAATCAGGGGCAAAGAATCTAAAAAGTAGCGGTCGCATGATGATCGAAAAAGTGATGATTCAAATAGGGGCAAAAAGTGAAAAAAAAAAACAGCGGGGGGGTTGGGGGGGGCGGCAGCCCCCCCATTGAAAAAGTGATGATTCAATTAAGGCAAAAAAATAAATATGAAAAAGCAGCGGGGGGGTCATCAGTTCCTCTGCGGCAAGGCCTCGTGGTACAAGTGAGGATTCAATCACGGGCAAACTAATCCCTGTAAAACGGCAGCCAAAGAATCTAAAAAGCAGCTGTCGCATGATGATCGAAAAAAGTCATGATTCAAATAGGCGTGTATTTTAATCGAAAGGGGGGTGGCGGGGGGCACCAGAGAGGAACTTGATGCTGGGGATGCAGGAAGCCAAGACCAAAAACCAACTGGGAAAGCAGAGGATGCGAAAAGCCAAAGCCAGAAAGCCGCCAAAAGCCACAAAGCCAAAAAGCCAGCGGAACTGGCAATGCAGAGGATGCGAAAGAGAGGAACTGTGAATGCAGAGGATGCGAAATGAAAAGGCACAAAAGCCATAAAAACCCACGTAAAAGCCACAAAAGCCAAAAAACCGAAAAGCCACCCACCCTGAAAAACAATAATTCCTAAAAAAAAACGAAAAACATGCTTAAAAAATGGCCCTCCAAACAAAACACAGCAACGCCGAGTTGACCTAAGAGGAGCTGAGAATCCAGGCAAAACAAAACACAGCAACGCCGAGATCTGGACCTGTGCTGCCCTGCGAGAATCCTGGCAGGCCCATCGCAACACACAACACAGGAGCCCTGACTCACACGAAGAGCAGCAGTGCGCACGAACGGACGGCCTCGTCCAAGCCCTTTCCGGCCACTTTGGCCTGGACCACCACCATGACGTGCGTCACAGAGAATGCCACGACATTTTGGCAAAAAAAGCAAACAGCCCTGCCTCTTCAACAAACTCGCGCAGTTTTTGTTGCAACTCGTCTTTCAGCCCTGAAAGGGTCCACTTCCCTGGATATATCTTCTGCGCTTTTCCTGAGCTCAACACTTTCACCGCTCTTGCAACCCCGACCCACGTGCTGCTCCAGCGGCGCAAGACAGCTTTGGTCTCTTGCACCGTGCCGTTGTCCTGCAGCACCCTGTCGGCTTCTACGACCACCTGGGCGAGACAAGGCTGGGACTGGCGCTTTCTCTGAAGGCCCGCCTCCTCGAGATCGAGCCGGTCCTGGCAGCCAAGAAGCCCAGCGTTCTGATGCACATGTCCCCCACGCCTGGGCACTGTTGTCCTGGCAACGGCAACCGCCCAAACTTGCAAGCTTTGGGTTCGAAGGTCCTCTTGCGCAGCCCTGGCACGCAAGGCGACTCCAGCATGCAAAGAGCGTGGTCTCACCTGAACAAACGAAAGTGCGATCTGTTTGGGACTGTGGGCAACTCTCAGGAATGGGCCAGTGCGCTGTTGCGGTTCTGGCACGGCAACACAAACCGGAGCATCCAAAGTGGGGGACTTTACGATCCTTCAGCCGAGCTCCTCCGGCAAAGTCGTGGGCGGCAAATGAGGACTCCTGAAAACGAAAATCCTTTTTGCAAACGCCGCTCCTGACTTTCCCAAGGCCCCGGCCGTTCTTGGCCACAGTCGGGAGAGCGCCAGCACAATCCCGAGGCCTCTCCTCCTGGAACTCGTCGTTGCCATGGCCGTCGCAAGACTTTGTGATTCCTCACATCAACTCGAAAATTGGTAATCCGTTGCCAGCTAGCATGCCTTGCTGATTTGATAAGCACTCGCGGGCAACGGACGGATCTTTCGCTTCTCAGGGCCCACATGACCAAGCTAACCCTGCAATCAGACCTGAGCAGATTTGACTCCAGCGGTTTGCTGCAGGCTGAGGCACGGGCTGCGTTCCAACAATCTGTCCAAACGGTTATACGAAGCACCCCATTTTGAAAAATGTTTATGCGACCACCATCTACTTGAAAGTGTGCCAATAGTTGAGCCAATATAGCATGTTTCATATGACATATCAACAAGTTTGAATATTTTACAATGTTGGTATATTTTGGTTTTAACCATCCTAAGTATTCATAAACAGTCTTATAGCATTTTTACATTATTTACAACTACAATTGCACCAAGTGCAATATGGTATAATACTATTTAATTCGTGGCTGGTTTCGTTTGATTTGCATTGCGCGGATAAATTACTAGTTATATTGCTATTCTTAATACCCAATGTAAAACCACATCCACAGTAATTTCATTGATTAGTGATAGTATTAAAAACCATGCAGCATTGACATAGCCTTCTTTAGGTATATTTCTTTTTGCTTCTCTGTCCTGTTCTTTGTAATTTATTTTTTTCCTTTCAATACATTTTTCGTTAAATGCATCATCGGTATCTTTTGTATATTTAAAAAACTTGACTTTGTTGAAGTCTCTACACCTTGTGATACTCGTCCACATCCACTCCCTATATTCTGTATTTAGTGGGTGGGTACAATCAAAAAATGTTATTGTGTCATCAATGCTACTACCGTGTGCGGAATGACACGTAGAGCAGTAAGCAAATATAAAACTGCTTCGTATTTTAGCAACGTCTAATATTGTAAAATTTCAGCTTTTACACTCTTCAGTGTAAGAATTCCATCATTACCAGTATGAACAATTTTATACTTGAAATGTACATTAAACACTGATGTTTTAGTTTTAGTGCGTTCCCTACATAATAAAAGCTGTCCTACTTCGTATTCATCTCAGTGACGCCTGTCACTTGAGCAGAGAACCTTCTTATTGTCCACTAGCTACAAAACTCCAAAAACCTCGGGAAAACCAAAAAACCAAAAAACCAAAAAACCAAAGCCCCTGGCAAAAGGTTTCCAGCCTGGCACTTGAACATTTCTTTGGGGGCTTTGGTTTTTTTGTTTTTTGTTTTTTTGGTTTTTCCCGAGGTTTTTTGAGTTTTTCTTGCTTTTGTCGTTTTTCTCGAGTTTTTTTGTTTTTCTCGGTTTCCTTGAGTTTCTGTAGGTTGGACCGCCCTCACGCATTCTTGCTGCTTTTATACCGCAGACTCGCAAACAGCTTTCCTTCGTCACATCTGCTTGCGCACGCCTCAAACTGTTGGAGTATGTCTCCCTGGGCTCACCGTGCCACTCTGCGCATACTCCGGGCGGGCGTTCTGAGCTGACCTTCTTCTGGATGTGCTCAACTTTTTGGCGGCAGCGGCCGGACGCTTGAGAGTGCTCCGCCGTGGTCACCGCGTCGCACGGGCGACAAATCAGCCCGTCGACAACCTCCTTAAGGTGTTCGAAGGTCATATCCTCGGCCTGCATGGCTACCTAGTGAAGTTTCAGCCAAGGGCTGAGTACTGGGAATTGCTACTTGCTGAAATCTGCAGAAGTAAACGCGCGGATGCGTTGATGACTGTTTAGGCTGCATTTGCACACATAAGACCACATCACATTAGACACATTGCCGTCAAGCCATCCACCAAGCCTTCCTTCCCACAGAGTCCGTTTAGAAATGCCTGTGTCCCCAGAAAGTGTTTTCCGAGCGTTTTTCCTTTATTTTGGCATATTGGGAAAACAGCGGTTTTATATGGAAAACACACGCGCTGGGGACACTGCCCTCTCTATATGCTATGTTATTGTTTTAAAGCCACTTATGCTAGGTGTGTATTCGAAATACTTTTCAATAAGTTGTTTAGTAGATAGTTTGTTTTCAAACATGCCAGTTATAATATTCTTCAATTGTCCTTATGTTCCTGTGTATGAAGTCTTTTACATTCTTTGAATAAAATATTATGTGCAATAATATTATCTATAACATTGTCAGTGTGTAATTCATAATCTTGAGTGCTTGTTATTTGTTGAACTGGTCGTAATTGTTTGGTGTCTCCTGTTGCTATGGCATTTTTGTTGCGCTTGTATTTTTCTACACATTGTTTTATTTGCCAGTATGTGCTTAGACTACTGAAATAGATTTCATCAAACACTATTACATCATAACCTGTAAACTCAAAAGGTTCCAATTTAGCGTCTGCATAATTAATACCAAAGAATTTATTTATTGTCATTGCTTCCCCTTCAAATGCCTGCAGTAATTTGTTAGTAGGTGTTACAACAATTACATTATAACCTTTATCCACCATTTTTTGGTATATATATATAACTCTTGCCTGTGCCGGGGTAGCAACCCCTAATCATCATGGAATTATTCTTTTCAATGACTTCAATAATTCGATCTGTGTCATATTCATTTGCTATGTTTATTCTCTTTCGCATACTGGTATTTTACAAAATCTTTTTTAACACACTTGTACTCATCAGAAGGTAATTTGAACTATTGAAATCTAATAGTTCTTTTGGCTTTTCTTCTTTGTTTAAATCAAAAACAAAAGCATCAGTTTTGACACTACATACAATAACGTCATTCAGTAGCAATTCAAACAAGTCAGTATTCATTCTAAAATTATGGTGTTGTAATCACAATTCTTTAATGTAGTTGAAAACATTTTTTAACTGTGTCTTACCCTTCAACTTTAAAATGTAATATGATGATTTTCAGTTTCATTTGATGGGCTGTAATTTTCACACTCTTCTTCACCCTCCATTTCTGTTAATCTGTGAATTCTGCCTCCGTATTCTGTTTGATAATGGGCTGCTTCCTTAAGATGTTTAAACAATAAGCTTTTTTGGTCAGTTGCACCTCTCTTCTCTTTTGACACATAATTGATATTAGCAATCAGTTTCTTAGTAACTGTGTCTAATTCTTCATCATGCTCATCAATTGTTGTTTTCCATAGTTCATCTATAATACTTTTGTAATCCGCTTTATGAATAAATGATGGTTGTTTATAATATTAAACAGCAAATGATATGCATTATTTGCATTTCTAGCTTCCTTTAAGAACTTCCATATATTAAGTTATACTTCTTGTTAAACATTAGATAAGACTTATTGTGATGGAATAGTTTTTCCTCCATAAATTGTTGAAACTCATTATGGTTCATTAATTTACAAAAATCATGCCTAAGATGGTTAATATTGTTTACCATTGTGTTATCTGGTTTTCTGGCACTACTGACCCTTACATAATATAATGTCAGTTCATTATTGAATGGTTGCCAACTGTCAAATTGATGAAAAACTGGACTTTCAACAATGTCTATGAATGATTTTGTGAATGCGTTTGATCTATTCGATTCAATTATACCCTTCAATGGTGTTTTATCCCATAGTCTCCCCGCACAGGGACTATCGTTCTTGTTTCATCTAAAATTTTAATGTCATTGTAGAAAGACTTGTGGGATGGAACAATTAACGATTTATTAAAGTCAAACATTGCTTTATTCATACTGCTACAAGCTATTTCATTACTAACTGCTATACATGCAGATGATTCATCAAATTTGTCAGGTTTTACAATGTGTGTACTATTTTTCTAATTTCACTCTCATTTCAGCAATAATACCTTCTTGAAATCTTATTCTTGGTTCATATCCACTCTTCACTAAATCAAAAACCAACTCGGTCAAATTGTTATTCTCAGGGACTATGTATAATTCCTTTGTATCTTTAGTAGTTTCAATTTTTAGTATGTCATCTACATTGGTAATCATTTTGTATTGCAGGGGTTCCTCCCTTTCATTGAGATAATAATCCGTAAATGCCTTTATTGTAGGGAGTTTTGTTATTATCTGTTTTTGCTGAATGCTTTCTAAATCATGGTTCAAAGTAAAAGTGTGTTTTTCCATAGCGTAAAATGCCTTAATATGATTACTTTTCGCTGGTTCATGTTTATAAGCTAGTTCATTTAGGAAGCTAAAAATTCTAACTTGAATAAGAAACTTCTTGAATATTGGCTCCATATCTTGAATAGATGCTCATGTATTATGAAAATCCTCTTTACATATGGTTTCTATAATATTATCTCTTGTCAGTCTGTTGTCATAAGCGTATCAGAATATAAATCAATAAAAGCGTTAATACAACACTCATTTTCTATATGATTGCCATTTTAATTGCTTTATGTATGGTGTCTTCTTTCATTTTTACCGGTGTATGAATATACCTATGGCAAATTGATACATTACTGGCATCCCTTAAATTTTCAGTAAGTATGCTAAACCTTTCGCCATTCTTATTTACCAATTCCACTTCTGTTATTTTGATACAGCCAAACAAATTATCATAATATTGTTGTAAGTTTCAAAAGTTCAGTAAATTCTGGATTTATCAAAGCGCCAGACAGCAAACCATCTAATCCTACACTGTTTAGATAGTCTTGGTCAGTTATATGCCTAAACACCCTCTTGCCTATTACATCTTTAGGAGATTCAAATGCTTTAATGGTTGCACTTCTAATATCAAAACTGTCAATGAAATAACTTCTGCCGTTATGTTCAAATGCTGGTTTCATTTTCTCATTTTTAGGATGTCTAATAGTGTATACTTGAAAATTTACTAAATATGTGTTTTGCCTTGTTTCCTGCCTCTCTTTTGATATTATGTGCCGTCTTGTTGCCTTGGGGTTCTGGGTTTCTTCCATTCTCTGACTTGCTGTTTGGGCATGCCTGTGTTTCTTGATATTGTCCTTGTATTCTTGAAATGCCTTGTCATAGGTTTTCTTGTCAGTAGAAGTTAAACCTTTGAGTAAAATTTCTGCTGTTGCTACATTTGTAATTTTGCGTTGAGTGTATAAATTAGTTAGTTCATCCACTCTTCTGCTGGTTGCCTGTGTTGTGCCTTCTGGCGCCTTCCGTTTTATTGTTTAAGTCACTCAGATTTCTCTGTAAAAACTTACTCATAAAAATACATATCTTTAAATACTTGTTTACAAGAAATCTTTTTTCACTAAAGTATATATTGTTAAACTACATATTTTATGTACAATATTAAGAGAAAAACTTCAGGTTGCTCCATTCTATTCATTATGTATGATTGGTGTGCCTTTGTGTCCAAATGCTTTCTTTTGTGGGAATGTTGGTAACG